TCCCTCGACCCTTCGACCCCCCCCCCCCTCCACGCTGGCCGAAGTGGGGGGGGCTCGTGACATGAGCAGAACCTCGGGCGTCGCCATCCGTCCTTGTGAAGCCGCAGCGCGAACGCATATAGCAGCTCGATGGACTCGCCCCGGAAGAGCTCCATCCAGTCCACCAGCATGCCGCACGATGTTACTGCTGTCACGATGCCTCCAGTGCAGCGTCTGACTTTGTTGCTCCCGTGGAGTTTGTCAACGCCGCACGCCTGGATAGCTTCCTCCTGCTTGCTGTCCAGAGCAAGCCATCCCTTGCAGCGGCTCCTCAATGAGTGGGCACTGCTTGCGCTGCTGCTCACATCGGCCGCCGCCGGCCGCTTCTTCGACTTGGCTGGAGCTGACCGCTTCGGTGCCGTGGCCAAGGCCCCGCTGGCACTCCCTCTTCCTGATCGGCGGGAAATGCCCGCGGCCTTGCCCTTGCCACCCCTGACCGCCTGGGCAGCCTTCCGGGCAGGCGCCCGAGAAGCAGAGCCACGCCGAGCCTTCTTTGCCCCGCCCCGGGCGCCTGCGCCATTGCTCGCCGCGACCGAGCTGGCCGGCTCACAAGCCGGCGCCTGTTTCCTCAGCCAGCGCGCAAATTGCCGGCTTCCCTTGATCCACGCCGGGCGCGACTTCTTGTTGCCGTGATCGCCCCGGCTCCGAAGCAGCGACTTCTCGAACTTCGCCAACAAGTCCTTCTCCACCTCGGCTCGCGGCAAGTGCACCTCGAAGGGGCGTTCTGGCAAATCGGGGTCGTAGCAGCTCACCACGTACCGCAGCGCGGAGTCGCCGTCAGCGGCCGGTCCTGGAGGAGCGACGCCCAAGATCTCCTTCTGGGGTATCAAGTGCGCTTGCTCTATCTTGGACGGGCGGCAGAACTTGCAAAAGAATTGTTTCGTGGGGGCATTCCGTTGGCAGCCAGTGTACAACTCCAACTCCAGGCCCTCCATGGGTTCATAGCCCTCCAAGCCGCCGCAGATGAATCGGCGGGCGCCGTGCTTGCCATCAAGCAACACCACGAGCTTGTCAACGCATTTCGGGCACGTCCGCACGTGCTCCGCGATGCGCGCCAGGTGCGCCCTTCGCACGCATGCCGCAATATTCGTAAGGGCGCGCTCTATTCCGCTCTCCGTGAAAGACCACTCAATACTCTCAGCGTTGGCTCCTGCCAGACGAATTGCATTGTGCATGTACCAGGCGTCCTCCAGACGCACGCGCGTGTTGTCTGTCTGCGTCATGAAGTCGCCCAGGATGAGGTTTTGCTGCTCGCGCCCTGGGTGCTGCTTGGCCCACACGTGGATGGCAGATGTGAACGTGCCTCCGCTGTGTTGCAAATCATCAGTTATGAACTGCAACAGCTGCAGGTCCACCGCGTACCACGCTTTCTCCCGGGCCACCACGACGTACGGCAAGGCCGCCTTCGTGGACACGGCGGTGATGCCAGACATCTTGCCGAAGTTTGCGCGACCGCCGATGCCCGCATTCTTCTTGTACATCCAATTGCCGACGAAGTAGCACTTGCAGGATGGACAATACTCCTCACGGAATCTACAATACTGGACCCCTGCGCCGAGAGTGTAGATTCGGAAACGGAAGTCCTGCGAAGCAGAAGCCGCGCCCCGTTCTTCCCATTTGTTCCCAATGCGGCCTCTGCTTTTGTCTGGCTGGATCACCAGATCACTATTTTCGCATTTCGGGCATTGGCCGTGTGTTGACGAGAGAAGTACAGTCTCCGACTCGGGGCACAACTCCTGCATCTCCTTCAATGCTGGATGATTTAAGTCGTGCTCCCTGGTATTCCCAAATCCCACGTACGACTGCAGCTTCCACAATACATTCTTGATTGCGTTATCTGCAGCCTCGACCTTCAGTTCTTTGCGTAGCAGCGCTCGCACAAAAGGCGGAGCCAATTCGTTTGGCATGCATGATTGCACGCGTGCCACGACCCTAAAGGCAGCTGCAGGTAACGGATGCATTAGTGTACTGAATGAGAAATCTTTCCCCGCCTCCCCAGCCATCTTCGCCAGTCCCCGCTCCGCGTTGGAAAGGGAGCGACAGCGCAGCGCGCGCGTGCGCGCGGGCGCAACCTTGACACGTAAAGTGGCTCCCTAGTGACAGGGGCGATGATCATGATGGCGGCGCGGGCAACGATGCTGGCCCTGGTGACGACGACAACGGCGACAGACGCGACAATGGAAATGACGATGGTTACAACGATGATGGTGTTGACGATGGTCACGAGAATGCTGAACCTCATTCTTATCATGATGATGGTAATGATGGTGATGATGGTGGTGGTGGTGCCGACGATGGCTTTCGCTCTGGTTCTGGATTTGGGTTCTGACTTCTTTGTGCCTCTGCAAACGGTATGGGTACAACTCTGGCTGTTGGTCGGGCTCTGCTTTTGCCTGTCGCCCCGGTTCTACCTGCGGCTCTGTTTCTGGATTTCGGTACGGACCCCTCGCTGGCACTGCTTCTGTCTCTTGTTCTGCTCATGGTATTGGTCCTGGTTCGGGTTCGCCGTTGGATCGCGGTACTGGTTCTGGTTCATTTTTCCTTTGGTTCTGGCTCTGCTTCTAGCTCTGGTCCTGGCTTTGGAACTTGCTCTAGCTCTGGCTGTCGTGATCATTCTCTGCTTTTGGTTCTGGTTCCGGCTCTGGTTCTGGTTCTGGCTCTGGTTCTGGTTCTGGTTCTGGCTCTGGTTTTGGTTCTGGCTCTGGCTCTGGTTCTGGTTATGATTTTGGCTCTGGCTCTGGTTCTGGTTCTGGTTCTGGTTCTGGCTCTGGCTCTGGTTCTCGCTCTGGCTCTGGTTCTGGTTCTGGTTCTGGCTCTGGTTTTGGTTCTGGCTCTGGCTCTGGTTCTGGTTATGATTTTGGCTCTGGCTCTGGTTCTGGTTCTGGTTCTGGTTCTGGCTCTGGCTCTGGTTCTCGCTCTGGCTCTGGTTCTGGTTCTGGTTCTGGCTCTGGTTTTGGTTCTGGCTCTGGCTCTGGTTCTGGTTATGATTTTGGCTCTGGCTCTGGTTCTGGTTCTGGTTCTGGTTCTGGCTCTGGCTCTGGTTCTCGCTCTGGCTCTGGTTCTGGTTCTGGTTCTGGCTCTGGTTTTGGTTCTGGCTCTGGCTCTGGTTCTGGTTATGATTTTGGCTCTGGCTCTGGTTCTGGTTCTGGTTCTGGTTCTGGCTCTGGCTCTGGTTCTCGCTCTGGCTCTGGTTCTGGTTCTGGTTCTGGCTCTGGTTTTGGTTCTGGCTCTGGCTCTGGTTCTGGTTCTGATTTTGGCTCTGGCTCTGGTTCTGGTTCTGGTTCTGGCTGGTTCTGGCTCTGGCTCTGGTTCTGGTTCTGGTTCTGGCTCTGGTTTTGGTTCTGGCTCCGGTTCTGGTTCTAGTTCTGGCTCTGGCTTGGGCTCTGGTTCTGGTTCTGGTTGTGGCTCTGGTTCTGGTCCCGGCCCTGTCTCTGGCACTGGCTCTGGTTCTGGTTCTGGCTCTGGCTCTCGCCCTGGTTCTGTTCCTGCCTCTGGTTCTGGCTCTGGTTGGCTTTAACAGTGGTCCTGGTTATGGTCCAAGGTCCTGCCTCTGGCTCTGCTTTTGTTGTATATATTCTCAGCTCTGGCTCAGGCTCTGGTTCTGGCTCTGGTTCTGGCTCTGGTTCTGCCTCTGGCTCTGGCTTTGGTTATAAGTTTGGCTCCGGCTCTGGTCCTGCCTCTGGCTCTGGTTCTGGTTCTGGCTCTGGCTCTGCTTCTGGCTCTGGCTCTGGTTCTGGTTCTGGCTCTGGCTCTGGCTCTGGTTCTGACTCTGGTTCTGGTTCTGGCTCTGGCTCTGGCTCTGGTTCTGGCTCTGGGTCTGGTTCTGGCCCTGCTTCTGGTCATGGCTCTGGCTCTGATTCTGGCTCTTGCTGTGGTTCTGCCTCTGGCTCTGGTTTGGGTTCTGACTGTGGCTCTGGATTTGATTTTGGTTCTGGCTCTGGTTTTGGTTCTGGCTCTGGCTGTGGTTCTGCTTCTGGTTCTAGTTTTGGCTCTGGCTTGGGCTCTGGCTCTGGCTCTGGTTCTGGTTGTGGTTCTGGTTCTGGCTCTGGCTCTAGTTCTGGCTCTTGCTATGGCTATGGTTCTGGTTGTGGTTCTGGTTCTGGTTCTCGCTCTGGTTCTGTTTCTGCCTCTGGTTCTGGCTCGGGTTCTGGCTTTAACGGTGGTTCTGGTTATGGTTCTTGTTATGGGTCAAGGTTCTGCTTCAGGCTCTGCTTTTTGTTAAATCTGTTTTGTCTCTGGCTCTGGCTGTGGCTCTTGTTCTGGCTATGGTTCCAGTTCTGGCTCTGGCTGTGTCAATGGTTATTCTGTGGATCTGGCTCTCGTCCTGGCTCTGGCTCTGGTTCCAGTTCCAGCTCTGGCTCTGGTTCTGGCTCTGGCTCTGGCTCTGGTTCTGGCTCTGGCTCTGGTTCTGGCCCTGCTTCTGGTCATGGCTCTGGTTCTGATTCTGGCTCTGGGTGTGGTTGTGCCTCTAGCTCTTGCTCTGGGTCTCGTTCCGGCCCTTGTTCTCGATCTGTTTTTGATTCCGATTCTGGCTCTGGCTCGGGTTCTGTCTCTTGCTCCGGCTCTGGCTCAAAAGCCCGAGGACGACGGAAACCTCCAGACCCTTGTCCTTCGGGGCCGTTTTCCTTCCGGAGGAGGCAGGGCGCCGTCCGCCGGCTGGCGCTCGCCAATTTGCGCGGCTGCTGGCCGCAGCGAAAAGTCCCGGAGATGACCCCCAGCGGCGGCGCGCACCCGCGACCGGCCTGGAAAAAATAACTGCTCAAAAACCTCGTGCACCAGCCATCCTCGCAGCCGCCCTGTCGCGGTGCTCGTCTCCCCCCTCATCCTCTGCGTTCTCTTCCTCCTCCTCTTCCTCCTCCTCCTCCTCCTCCTCCTCCTCCTCCTCCTCCCCCACCTCCCCTTGCCACCCCCCGCCGACAGCCCGCGCTTCCGCGGCCTCTTTGGCTGCTTGCGGGGGTTCCTCAGACAGCGGCGCGGTTCAGCTTCTCGCAGAGCAGCTTCTCGCGGCGATGGTTCCCGCGCGCTTCCCTGCGCTGCTGCGCCGCCTCCACGGCGGCGCAGCGGTCCTTCGCCTCCTGGGCGCCCATGCCCAGGCGCCCCGCCAGGGCAGTGCCCTGCGCCAAGTGGCCGGCACGGAGCACCCGCACCGCCTTCATCACGAGGACATCTTTCTTCTTCTGGTCCGCGACATCCGCCGGCGCGGGCTTCGTCCACGCGGACTCCAACGTGTCGGCGTTATACCACACGAGGTGGCCGTTCGCCACCGTCGCCTTCTGCGACCACGCCGTCTCGTCCAGCCACGCCTCCAAGTCGGCTTCGAAAGCGACCTCCTGCTCCGTCTGCTGCAGAGCATCGCCTGACACGACGCGAAACGCGGGCGGCACGCGAGGGGGGCGCGCGCTCGGACCAATCCAAGGCGAACCAAGCATAAGTCTGAGCGCGCTACTCCCCCTGCTGACAGCCGCTCGTTTCGCGCCGTGCGGCCTGTCAAGTGCTCGTACGGATCCCGCTGGGGGCCCTGCTTCTCCGCGTCCTCCTGCTGGCCCTTGTTCTTCTCCGTCTCTTCCGCGTCCGGCTTGGGGTCGCAGGTCTTCTTCTCGCGTTCCTGCTCTGCGTCCGTTGCGTTGCTCTGCGGCTTCCGCTTGCTGTCGTCCTTTTGCTGGCGCTGCTCCTGCTCCCCATTCCTCTTCTGCCCCCGCTCCGTCAAGTTGTCCCGCGGCTTCTGGTCGCGGCTGCGCTCCTCCTTCTTCGACCCCTCGCCCGAGTGCTTCTGCCGCTTCCAGTCCGCGCCCTCTTCCCCCTCCCTGTCCTCCCTCCGCCGGGTTTTGTCGCTGCTCCAAGAGGTTCCCGCGTGCGTCTGCCAGTTCTCCTGCGGCTGCTCCGAGGCGCGCGACGCGCGCGACCACCCCTGCGTCGGACTGTGGGGCCCCGCGGGGAAAATGCACATTCCAGAAACACGCCAGGCACTGCGACGACTGCAACGCCAGAGACGACGACGACGACGACGACGACGACGCGGGCGGCCCCCGGAATATGCCGGAGGCTTCCGAAGACTCTGGCCGAGAGGGGGGCGATCACGAGCATGATGGCCCCGCTCTGTCTCTTCTGCCTCCGCCCATCGCGGCCCCTGGCGCGCTCCAGAAAGTGCGATCAAGCACCTTCCTCCCCGGGACGCCCGCCCGCCGACACCTCGCCCCAGTTGGCCCTCGACCACGACGTGCTCGTCCACGACGCACTCGACCACCGCGCGCCCGACCACGAGGCCCAACCGCCGCCGCGCGGCCAGGTGTGGCCGTGCCACTCCTCACTCTTGTTTTTCCCCAGCTCGTCCTCCGGCGCCCGCTTCCCCGCGCCCCAGTTGTCCGGCGCGTTCCTGTCTTTGCCGACCCAGCTCCCGCCCTTGCTCTGCCGGCCCCCCTTGTTGTCCTGCGCGGGCCCCTTGGACCGCTCCTCCCTCTTCTCCCGGGGCCCCCTCTCCTTCGCGTCCGCCGGGCCCACGGCAGCGCGCGCCGCGACGCCCATCTCTGGACCAGCTCGAACGTACCACATCTCCTCGTCGTCGCCGTCGTCGTCGTCGTCGGCTGTCTTTCGTCGTTCGTCGGTCGCTGGTCGTCGGTCGTCGTTCGTCGTCGTCGGTCGTCGTTCGTCCTTCGTCCTTCGTCTTTCGTCGTCGTCTTTCGTCGTCGTCGTCGTCGCCGTCGTCGTCGTCGTCGGCGTCGTCGTCGGCGTCGTCGTGGTCGTGGTTGTGGTCGTGGTCGTCTTCACAGCTTCGGTTCTCGTTCTGGTTCGGCACAAGGGGCCGCCCATGCCCCGGGTCCTGCGTGCGGAGCGGGAGGGCCCGCATCAGCCTCACGAAGGGAGCGCGTGCCTTGCCCTCTGCGGGCAATGCGCCACTCATCAGCGTCTGGCATAGCAAGCATAATCGGGCCGCTGTCTGCGAGGCGCCGCCGTCCTTGCCCCAACAACACCCTTCACCTTTGCAGTCGCCCACCATGACACCGGAGACTCTGGCGGATTGCCGGGCAAGCAGCCCTCGTTTGTGCTGGTTGGAGTAGCCTGGAGCCACACCGGCTCCGGACATTCAACAGTGCTCTGGTCAGCCTGTTGACTGCAGCCGAAAACGCGCTCGAAGCTGGGTTCCCCCTCCTCCTCCTCCTCCTCCTCCTTCCCCTCCTCCCTCTCCTCCTCCCCCTCCCCCTCCCCCTCCTCCTCCTCCTCCTCCTTCTCCTCCTCCTCCTCCTCCTCCTCCTCCTCCTCCTCCTCCTCCTCCTCCTATCCATCATCGTCCTCATCGTCGTCATCCTCCTCCCCCTCCTCCTTCTCCTCCTCCTGCTCTTCGGTTTCACCGTCCTCCATTCCTCCATGTCCTTCTCCTCCTCCACCTCCTCCTCCACCTTCTCCGCCTCCTCCTCCTCATCCTCCTCATCCCAATCCTCTTCCCACTCCTCCTCGTCATCATCCTCCTCCTCCACCTCCTCCTCGTACTGCTCCTCCCCCGCCTCCTCGTCCTCGTCCTCCTCCTCTTCCTCCTCCTCTTCCTCCTCCTCCTCCTCCTCCTCTTCTCCTCCTCCTCCTCTTGTCCTGCTCCTCATACTCTATACCCCATCCGCCTCCCATTGCCCGGGGATCCCGCCTAGTGTTCCGGGTCTGGACAGGAGTGGTGGCGACCGATTGGGGCGTCCAAGATGACCCAAGATAGCCTCCAAGACCCAGGAGGCCTCAGAACACCCAAGATGACCTCCAATATAGCTACATATATCTCCAAATAGCTGCAGATCCGCCACCGCGCCCCCTACGTTCAGGCGCGGTAAAATGTCGATCGCCCCCTCTTCCTGAGGATCTGTCGACCCCAGGGCAAGCCCGCAAGGTCACCACGACCAACACCATCATCATCACCATCATCACTCCATACTAATCAACATCGTCATCCCATAGTAATCATCATCACCACCGTCATCATCATCTTCATCGCCATCGTAATCGTCCTCGTCATCATCGTCATCATCGTCATCATCTCCACCATTGTCATCGTCATCGTCGTCGTCGTCATCATCATCATCATCATCATCATCACCACCATCATCATCATCATCACCATCTCTCGCTACCGCCACATTCCTCCTCCTCCTCCTCCTCCTGCTCCTCCTCCTCCTCCTCCTCCTCCTCATCCTCCCCATCATCGTCCTCATCGTCCTCCCCCTCCCCATCCTCCTTCTCCTTCTCCTCCTCTTCGGTCTCACCATCCCCCATTCCTCCACTTCCTCCTCCTCCTCCGCCACCTCCTCCTCCTCCTCCTCCACCTCCTCCGCCTCCTCCTCCTTTTCCTTATCCCGCTCCTCCTCCTCCTCCTCCTCCTCCTCCTCCTCCTCCTCCTCCTCCTCCTCCTCCTCCTCCCACTCCTCCTCCTCATCCTCCTCCTCCACCTCCTCCTCGTACTGCTCCTCCCCCCCCTCCTCGTCCTCGTCCTCCTGTTCCCCCTCCTTCTCTTCCTCCTCCTCCTCCTCCTCCTCCACCTCCTCCTCCTCCTCCCCCTCCTTTCCTCCTGCTCCTCATACTCTATACCCCATCCGCCTCCTATTGCCTGGGGATCCCGCCTAGTCCGCCGGGTCCGGACAGGAGTGGCGGCGACCGATTGGAGCGTCCAAGATGACCCAAGATAGCCTCCAAGACCCAGGAGGCCTCAGAACACCCAAGATGACCTCCAATATAGCTACATAATATATCTCCAAATAGCTGCAGATCCGCCACCGTGCCCCCTGGGACGTTGAGGCGCTGTAAAATGTCAATCGCCCCCTCTTCCTGAGGATCTGTCGACCCACGCAAGCCCGCAAGGTCACCATCACCAACACCGTCGTCATCGCAATAATCACGCCATCGTAATCATCATCACTATCACCATCATCACATAATATACATCATCATCATCACCGTCATCATCATATTCATCGCCATCGTAATCGTCGTCGTCATCATCATCACCGCCATCATCATCGTATCGTCGTCGACGTCGTCGTCGTCAACGTCGTCATCATCACCACCACCATGGTCATCATCTCCCGCAATCGCCACATTCCAGCAACACCTCTTCTCCTCCTCTGCCCACCCGGCGACCCGGCGACCCGGCGACCTGGCGACCCGGCGACCCGGCGACCCGGCGACCCGGCGACCGAGCGACCCGGCGACCCGGCGACCCGGCGACCCGGCGACCCGAGGACCCGGCGACCCGGCGACCCGGCGACCCGGCGACCCGGCGACCCGGCGACCCGGCGACCCGGCGACCCGGCGACCCGGCGATTCGCGGCCCCCCCCCGCCCTTGTCCAAATCGCCCTCGAAAAAGGAAGAGGAGGAGGAGGAGGAGGAGGAGGAGGAGGAGGAGGGGAGGAGGAGGAGGAGGAGGAGGAGGAGGAGGTTGAGGAGGTTGAGGAGGAGGAGGAGGAGGAGATCGAGGAGGAGGAGGAGATGGAGGAGGAGGAAGAGGAGGAGGAGGAGGAGGAGGCGAAGGAGGAGGAGAAGGAGGAGGAGGAGAAACGGAAGGAGGAGGAGGAGGAGGATGAGGAGGAGGAGGAGGAGAATAGGAGGGGGAGAAGTTATCTGCAAGGGAAAGGGATGGAGGAAGAGGGAGCAGCGGAGTTCACGGGGCGAGGGCCACGGTGGTTCGGCCAGGGTCGCCGGCGAGGGCGCGCCCAGCGGCGTCGTCCCAAGCGCCACGCTCCGCCGAAGGTGGTCGCGGTCGCCGCCTCAGCCGACTATCGTGAGCGCGAAGCTCACAAGCCCGACTGAGATCAGAAGGACGTCGCCGCCTGTTGGCGTTGGCGGCGCGCCAGAAGGCCAAACGGGGACGGGGCGGAGGGGAGGCAACTTTGAGGCCTCCTGGAGCGTCCTCGTGACCACGGCTGGGCGCGGTCCGCTCAGACTGGCCCAGACGAGCGACGATCAAAAACGGGTCTTGCGCGAGATGACGTGGCGACATTACGCGGGCCACGTGCACGGTACGCCACATTGAAGACGAGGGCGCTTACGCGCGAGCTTACGCGGGCAGCTCACGCGCCGATGTCGACGCAGACGACCCCGTTTTTTGGCGCAGCTCAGATGGACCTCGGGAGGGGTCGGCGGAATCCTCCTCCTCCTCCTCCTCCTCCTCCTCATCCGCCCCGTCCTCCTCTCCCTTCCCTCCTGGGGTGCGCTCGGAGAGCAGGTGTAGACGGACTCCGTCTCCATGCTATGCTCCTCCTCCTCCTCCTCCCTCCTCCTCCTCCTCCTCCTCCTCCTCCTCCTCCCTCCTCCTCCTCCTCCTCCTCCTCCTCCTCCTCCTCCTCCTCCTCCTCCTCCTTCCGTTTCTCCTCCTCCTCCTCCTCCCCCTCCTCGTCCATCTCCGGCGGAAGGCCGGGAGCCTCCCAGAGGGGACCGGGGCCTCTCTCGCGGGCTCTCGAGGATGCCTCTCGGAAGCCCTGGGGGGCCTCTGGGAGGCGGGGCGCTCCCCTGTGGAGGGGCCCAAGGGCGCACAAGTAATCGCAATGCCCAGGATTCCTTATAGTTATATTTCCCCCTCTTTTTTCGAGGTTGTTCTTCATACTTGTCCCCATGTTCTGGGTTTTCTTCTGACTGTTCAATGCTTTCCCATCCTTTCACAATTTTCTGGGTTCTCGTTTCCCCCCCAACCTCCCAAATTGTCCCATATTTTCCCGGGAATCGACGATTCATTGTGTCTGTGTGTTTTCCCCCTCCTGATCCTGAGGCTGCCAGGCTTCGACCCCCCCACCCTTCCCCCTTCCGTGCGCCGCCGGGCCTAGCTCGAGGCGCGTGAGGTCCCCGCCGTTCAGCTTGATGTGGATGAGACCGGGCAGGACGAGCCCGATGGAGCTCAGGCAGAAGCCGCCGACGTAGGCCAGGATGGTGTTCACTCCCGGTATCGCGACTGCGGCCAGCGAGGTGAGCAGCACCACGCCCCAGCGCAGCGCGAGCTGCGCCGCGGCCTGGCAGGGCACCCGGCGGCCCTCCTGCCCGAGGGGCGGCGCCGAAGCGCACGCCACTGCGCCCTCGAGGAAGCGGAAGACGGGGTACATCTGCAGCACGAACGTGATGAGCAGCACGATGCAGAGTACCACCTCGCACCCGCGCACGTCCAGGGAGCTCTGCGGGAAGCTCTGGTAGAAGACCTCGCCGACGCCGTCCCCGTACGCCAGGTAGCCGAAGGCACCCGCGAATGCATACAGCGTGGTCGCCACGAGGTAGCTGTTCACCAGAACCTGCTTGAACGGCTCAACGCTGTCCACCTGCATCTCGTCGAAAATGTACTGGCCAACCACAATGCCCTCGAACGCCGAGATCGTGGTGCCGAGGAAGCCGCCGAGGCCCCACCATCGCATGGGCAGCAGGGCGCTTCCAAGCGTCAGCGACGCCCCTTCGCGAATCGCGAGGGCGCCGAACTTGGCCAGGGCCAGCAGCATGTAGGCGTAGACCATCAGCGCCACCGCCGACAGCCAAGCGAGGCCGCCGAGGCCGCGGACGAGGCACAGTGCGCAGAGGGTGCAGAACAGCAACGTCCGCACCGCCGCCTCCTGGCCATCCGGCAGCCACCCGCCCGCCGTCTCCGGAGGAAAAAAGCACTGCCTAAACCTAAACTTTCGGAGCTCCGCGCGGACTTCTTGGATCCGTGCTGGAGCCCCCCTGGAGGCACCTCTGGCGCCGCCCATGGTGCGCTCCGCGCGCCAGGGGAGGGGGAGGCCAGCGCCGACCCCAAGAGATCCGCGCGGAGCTCCGAAAGCTTAGGTTTAGGCAGTGGTTTCTTCTTCGAGTCTCGACGATGATGTCGGTGTAGGCCACCCCGATCCCGAACTGCGTCAGCAGCGCGGCGGTGGCGCACACCCAGAGGCCGGGGCGCCCGAGCACGCGCAGGGCGATCACGCCGAGGGGGCCCATGCCGCAATCGTCCGCCGCCTCGCCCGCGCCCGCACCCGCGCCCGTGCCCGCACCGCCGCCGCCGCCACCGCCGCCGTCGTCGTCGTCGTCGTCGTCGTCGTCGTCGTCGTCGTCGTCGTCGTGGTCGTCGTCGTCGTCGTCGTCGTCGTCGGCGTCGGCGTCGGCGTCGTCAGCGTCGGCGTCGGCGTCCTCGTCGTCCTCGTCGTCCTCGTCGTCCTCGTCGTCCTCGTCGTCGCCGTGGTCGTCGTCCTCGGCGTCCTCGTCGGCGTCGGCGTCCTCGTCGGCGTCGGCGTCGTCGTCGTTGCCGTCGTCGGCGGCGGCGGCGGCGGCGACGTCGGCGTCGGCGTCGGCGTCGGCGTCGTCGTCCGCCCCGCGGCCTCGTCCGCGCCCGCGGCGGAACTGGCCGGCGCGCCCGCCGGCCGCCTCGGCGAGACCTGCAGCCGGCACTGGATCAGCCGCAGGGTGCCCAGGGCCGTCAGGCCCGCCACGATCGGCAGCAGCGGCAGGGCCAGGGCCAGCCCCACCCGGCCGAAGGCGCAGGGCAGCGCCAGGATGCCGCCGCCCACCATGGCCTTCAGCATGGCCACCGTCGCCAGCAGGGGCGACAGCGGCGCCGCCGCCGCCGCCGCGCCCGCGGGCCCCGGCTCCGGCGCCCCGGCCTCGTCTGCCGCGGCGGCGCGGGACCCCGCCTGCGCCGCCGGCGCGCACAGGAGGGAGGCCTCCCCTCCCCCCTCCTCGGGCTCCTCCTTGCCCTGCCCCTCTGTGCGCGCCGCCCGCGCCTCGAGCCTGGAGTACGCGCTGCCCCTCGGGGGCCGGCCGACCCCAGCGCCCTCCTTCGCCACCTGCTCTGGCAGCTCGCCCCCCTCGGCGCTGCCTCGCGGCGCCCCGATGACCCTCGGCGCCGCGTCGGAGGCGCCGTGGGCCATGGGCCGCGGGCAGCGGCCGAGGCGCCACGGACCATGGAGCCACGACGCAGCCCCGAGCCAACATGGCTGCGGAGGGGAGGGGGCCAGCCGGCTCGCTCGAGCTCGGCAGGCACTGTGACGGGCCGGGGCCGCCGGCCAGAGAGGGCACGGGCCGGCGGCGGCTGCGGTGACGGCCGCGGCCGAGGCCGCCGAGCTGAAGGTGGCGCTCTCGGCGGCGGCGGGCGTGACAGCAACGGCTGTCGGGGCAGGGCCAAGGGCACGTGGCCGATTCTGAAACCTCGGAACCCGAAGATGCTCTCGTCGCTTGGGGGCTTGGGCGTCGCTTGATGGGGGGGGCGATAACTGGGGGGGGAGATAGGTGCTCCCTTGGGCCCCAGAGGCCCCCTTCTGGGCCCCAAAGGGCCCCTCCAGGGGCCCCATAGGGCCTTTTCTCTGCGGCCCTCGCTACCCCCCCCCCATTTATCGCCACCCCTTTATTACGGCCCGGGGGGCGCATCTTTTACTTCCGCCGGCTTCCGCCTTCGGAGCCGCCTTCGTTTTGCTTCCGCCTGTGTCAACTGCCTCGATCCTCGAAGGCGAGGCCCTTCTGGAATGCCTCAAGTGGAGGGGGGAGCTGCAATCGATGCCCAATCATCCTAGATGGCTGCCCCCCGCCCTACCCGCCGGCGGCCATCGCGCACGCCAAGGCGCGCGCTGAGTTTTCAGGTTGCTGCTGTGCTGGGGGGGTCATGCGTGCACTTTGCGGGTGGGCGGCGGTAGCGGCAGCGAGGAGGAGGAGGAGGAGGAGGAGGAAAAGGAGAAGGAGGGTGAGAAGGGTGAGGAGGAGGAGAAGGAGGAGAAGGAGGGGGAGGAGGAAGAGGAGGAGGAAAAGGAGGAGGACGAGGAGGAGGAGGACGACGACGAAGAGGAGGACGAGGAGGAGGAAAAGGCACTGAGGGTGCGCCTACATCCAATTGCCATGCGCCACGCCACGGCTCGGGCCCCTCGTAGTCAAGAGAGCAAAGGCATGCGAACCTACACTGCTGCGGTTGTCCGATGGCGGGCTGCGCATGCGGGAGCCCATTGCCCGCAACAGTTCTGTCCCGAATCTCCCATCACGGACCCGGATCGTGGCTCTTTGTGGGGGCAGGAGGAGAAGAATGTTCTGAGAGGCCTCGTCCACAACTTGGTACGGGAAGGTGTCGGAGAGATGGCTGCAATATGCAATATGCTTAGAGCGACTTTGGAATCCCGAAACAGTACGGTGACAGACCGTGCGGTGACCTCGAAATCCCGCAGGACCTCACTGCACGGTCCGTCAGCGCACGGTTTAGGGACCTCGGATGCCCCAGCCCCCGAGACGTCCTCGGAGAACGACCCGAGTCCCAAAACCGTGCGGTGACCGCGAATCCCCACCGACTCGCCACACGGTGTGGTGACCACCCCGTGTGGGGGCCCCGAAGTGACGGTGTGCGTCCAACTACATTCTGGCACGTGCAGGGGAAGGTGTGCGTGATCCAGGGCCGATGCCTCCCACGCCCCTCCGCCCCTTAGGTGGGATGGGCCCGCAGGTGGAGAAGCAGAAGTGGAACCCTTGACTCCGCCCTCCCCCTATTCTCTCGACCGCATTACCGCCACCGTCTGCGCGGCGCGGGCTCCCCGGGCAGAGACGGGAGAGCTTGGAATCAACGATCTATATATATATATATATGTATCTACACATATACCTATACATACACATATCTATATATGTATACATTAAAAATTATCCCGGCAAAGCAACCTAACAGCGATGTGTAGAAGCATATCTGAAAGCATTCCCCTTAAGATTCAGATGAAAATCCAGTTGTAGAATTCTGCTGTTCTCGCAGTCGTAGTCGCATTCGCGATGACAGTCGCAGCGGCAACGGCAGTCGCAGTCACAGCCTCAGCCTCAGCCTGCCTCAGCCTCAGCCTCAGCCTGCCTCAGCCTCAGCCTGCCTCAGCCTCCTCAGCCTCAGCCTGCTTCAGCCTCAGCCTCAGTCTGCCTTCAGCCTCGGCCTCAGCTCAGCCTGCCTCAGCCTCAGCCTGCATCAGCCTCAGCCTCAGCCTCAGCCTGCCTCAGCCTCAGCCTGCTTCAGCCTCAGCCTCAGCCTGCCTCAGCCTCAGCCTCAGTCTGCTTCAGCCTCAGCCTCAGTCTGCCTTCAGCCTCGGCCTCAGCCTCAGCCTGCCTCAGCCTCAGCCTGCCTCGGCCGCAGCATCAGCCTGCCTCAGCATTCAAAATGTGGCCCAGGATGGAGTTCTGGGAACTAGAAGAACACGAAGTGGCCTACAGTTGGCTCCGGGCATTCAAAATCATGCCCAGGAATGGAGTTCTGGGAACTTGAAGAGCACGAAGTGGCCTACAGTTGGCTCCGGGCATCCAAAATGTGGCCCGGGAGTGGAGTTCTGGGAGCACCAAGAGCGATTTTGCGAGGATGTCCCAAGCGATTTGGGCTTCGGCGGCACCGCCCCGGGTCCCGCCCCGACCCCCCTGTGGAGTCATCTGCTGCTCTCTTTTGAGACCACTAGAAACCTATCAGCAAAAGCTGTTAGGTAATAAAGAACCAGGACCCAGCGGCCTGCGAACGACTCAGCCCCCCCGCAGCTCGCCCATGGGAAGGCCCATGGCGCGAGACATGCGAGGAGAGCGTTGGACGCCCCCCCAGACTCAAAGTTGGCCCCAAGCATTCGGCAGCGCAGGCGTGAGAGAACAACAGAAGTGGATCCCCAGAGGGCCTCCGCGAGGCCAGACCCCACTTTGACTCTGGGGGACGAACACGGGGTCGAACACGAAGGGGTTCTACCTTCCCTGAGACCCGACGTGGCATTTTTTGTTCCCGTCGGCGGCGAGGCAGAGGTGCTCGAGCGTGTGGCAACTCGGGGCAACCGAATGGCCAGTTCATACATCGGCTGGCATGCAAGAGGAGGGAAAAGCACGAGACGCTGCAACAAATCAAGCCCGGACCCCTGGACCCCATGACTCTGCGTCGCTGTTCTCGGGTCGGGCGAAAGGGGGGGATAGTAAAGGGGGGGTTTGAGAATCAGCTCACGTAGCTGATTTTCCCGGCGCCTCCCGGCGCCGGAGGCGCCCATGTATCGAAGAATGGGCCCCTCGGCGGGGCCGAAACCAGCTGCATGCAGCAAATTTCGTAACCCCCCCTTTCCCAATCCCCCCCTTTCGCCCGGCCCGATGTCCGAGCCGGAGCGATCTGTGTGGGCCCCGGGGCCCGAAGTCGAGCGGAGAGGCCCGCTGGGAAAAGGCTGCAGCGCCGGGATCGCAGAAGTCTCGTCCCCCGCCTAGGCTTCAGGGAAGCCTCCAGGGCAGCAGCCACACCACACACACAGGCGGCGGACCCATCGATGAGAGTGGGGGGCCCAGACCCCCTCGGGTCATGAAAAAATCACGACGGGGAATATTCGGCTATTTTCGGCCTCTGGGGGCCTTTACTGGGCCTCGGGACCGTCCAAAAACGACTCAGGATGAAAAACCGGTCCTGGGGAATGGGTTCGGACCTCTGGGGGTCGCGTCATGAAAAAATTACAGCAGAGAAAAAACCAATCAGTGGATGGTTGTCGCTGAAGAGATCGACCGGGAACCCGGGAGCCCAGGAACCCAGAACCCACCGAAATCGGCCTAACCAATAACTGGGCACCCAGGAACCCGGAACCGGGAACCCGGAAGCCCAGCCAGCGACCAAAACCGGCGGGACACTTTCGCCACATCTTTCAACTTCCACTGGGACCCCTTCAATGCAAGCACTGACTAAGGGCTCCCAACTTCGCGCCTCGCGCTGCGCGAAGCGCGAAGTGCGAATAACTTCGCGCTCTCGGGCCGCCTTCCAGGGGAGAAGAGGAGGATGAGGAGGAATCGGAGCCGGACCGCGAAGCACGAACAGCTTCGCGCCCTCGAGGACGCCCTGGCTGGTTGGGGAATCAGGGCGCCGGGGGGTCTGGGAATGCCGCAGAAAGGCTGGGTCCAGGGCTCTGGCCGTGATTGTCGCAGCGTCGGACCTCCGGGGGCTCAGGGGCCCTGCGGAGCAGGGGGCCCCCGAGCGGGACTCCCGCCAGCGGGCTCTCCAGAGGGCCCTTGCCGGCAGACGACGGCTCAGGACGAGTTCGCCCTGGAGAAGGCTCGACCAGGATCGACCACGAGTTCGACCTGGGTTCAGGACGCGGTTCGACCAGGATCCCCTTTCTTCGCCCTGCCGACTGCCAATTCGAGCTGGCAGCTTCGAGCTGGCCCCCCCCCCTTCTCGCTGTGAAGTGAATCGAAGGAGACGTCACCAAGCGCGGACTTGACCTTGTGAAGAGCTTTCTCCTAAAATTGCCAATTTGGGCCAGCTTCTCAGGTGTTGGGACGGTGGTTTTCAGCTTGGTCAGATCAGATGGTGACCAGACAATGCTAGCTGCTGTCCATGGTCAAAGCTTGTTGCAGGCCATCTCTGTCGTCGTTGCGTGGCCGAGACGTCTTGACAGCCACAAGGTAGGGTGCCGAAGAAACTCCGAGCAGCTGTCGAAATCCGTCTCGACGGAAGCATCTTCCAGTGTGCTGGCAGCGTGTAGGCAGGCATCGCACCGCATCGCCAGCGGCACGGGAACTGTCTGAACGATCGCGGGGCGCCCTCACACCTCGTAGTAAGCATCCGGACGTCTGCTGCTGAAAGCTGTGGCCGAAAAACATTGCTTCATCATGGTTAAATCCGTGAGTCGACGCTCTGGCCGAAGGGCTCTGCAGCAGCACTCAGGATGCTGCCTGGCCAGCGTCCTCGCCTCCCGAGCGGCTCGCGGCCTGCCTCGGCGGGAGAGGGCCTCAAGGCACCCACACCCGGGTCGTTTCTCGACGGCCCCGGCATCCGGGAAAGGGCCCCGGGAGGTCGAAAACTATGAAAAAACACCAGTCTCGACTTGTTCGAGACGCCAAATGTCTGGGGCTACGGAACGCCCCACAGATCCTCAGCAAAAGACCGCCCGGCCCGAGACCCGCCGGGTGGCCGCCGCGCCGCCTCCGAGGGGCGGCGCCGCCGCCGCCGCGCCGCCGCGACGCCGCGGCGCCCCCGCCGCCGCGGCGCGGCTGCGGAGCGGCGGTGGGGGCGCCGTAGGCGCCGCCACAACGCCGCGGCGCCACGCCACGGCCGCCGCCGGGGCGCCCCCCGCGCCGCGGAGCGGCGGCGGCGGAGCGGCGGCGGCGGCGGCGGCGGCGCGGTGCCCCGGGCGTGGCGGGGCGCGGCGCGCGGGCGTGTCCGACGGGGGCCGCAGCGGGGAGGGGAGCGGGGGGGGGAAGAGGGAGGAGGGAGGCAGGGGGCGAGGGAGGGGGAGGGATGAAGGGAGGGAGGGAGGAGAATCAGGACGGAGGTAGGAGGAGGGATGATGATGATGATGATGATGATGATGATGATGATGATGAGGAGGAGGAGGAGGAGGAGGAGGAGGAAGAAGAAGGGAGGAGAAGGAGGAGGAGGGCGTGGTGGTAGTGGTGGTCGTCGTTGCTCTCCTACTTCTCGTTCCGCCTTCCTCCTCTTCCCCCTTCCCCCTCCATCCTCCCTCTCTCCTCCAAGCTCCGCGCTCGCAGGAACGCGCGGTGTGGATTTGGAGACAGGATGAGACGCTGCGATCATCGTCTAACCAGGGTCCGTGCAACGTCAGAAAGGCGGAGGAGGAGGAGGAGAAGGAGGAGGAGGAGGAGGAGATTATGCTAGTGTTGTCGATGATGAGAATAACGATGTTGACGACGACGGTGATGCTGCTGCCGATGATGATGACGACGATGATGATGCTGATGATAATGATTATAATCATGATGCTGATGATGCTGCTGATAATGATGATGGTGATGATGATGATGATGATGTTGATGATGATGATGATGATGATGATGAGGGTGGATGATGGTGATGGCGATGTTGATGATGAGGCTGGTGGTGGTGATGATGATGCTGCTGATGATGCTCATGATGATGGTGATGTTGATGATGGTGAGGATGATGATGATGATGGTGGTGGTGATGATGATGATGATGATGATGTTGATGGTGATGATGATGATGATGATGACGACCCCTTGGGATGGCGAGCTGCCGAACAGCAGCAATTTGCAGCGCATGTCGTTTGCTTACGCGCTCTGACATTCGCACGGCCTAGTAACTTTGAGACCAGCTCCCAATGGAGGAGAAAGACGAGGAAAGAAGAGGGGTACGGATAAAGAGGATAATGCGAGGCCAATTTGTATACACCACCACCGCCCGCAACAATCATTTTCCGCAAAAAGGGTTAGGGGCAGGGTCATGCCAGACGACGCTGCGACGCCACGGCGAAAAGGAGCGGGGCGCAGCGCGCAGGCGCCGTGGCATGGGGAGTTCCTGAAATAGAAACAGTTTTTCTTGGCGGTGGTGTATACAAATCGCTCCCCTTGGTTACCAAAATTATATACACCACCACCGCGCGTGCTTTGATGAATTCTGTTTCGGTCCTTAAGGGGGAGGGGGCAGCCCGGTTGCCGTTGGCGGCAGGGGGGGCTGCGGGCTTTTCACCAGAGCAAAACTGCACCAAATCGCATCGTATATTATTATCGATCTTGGTGGTGGTAGTCAGATGCTGTGCTCGGAGATAAGGAGGAGGACTGGTCTAAATTCAATATGCATCAACGATGCTTCAACACACCCTCCCGTCCCAAGTCCTCTCCTCATCAGCCGCTACACGTTGTACATGTGTTCCTTTCCACTGTGAGAAGCACCCCCTTGAATGACAAACGTCCAATGGGCCTGGCACTCATGCGAGACCCCGCTGTGTACAAGATGCACCCTTCATCACTCTATCTACCCAACACGAAGTACGGTGCTAAAGTTCAAGGAGGTGTCTAGCCATACGTCGCCCCATTTGCATAAGGGAGCACAACACGAGGTAAACTGCTAAAGTTCAGGGAGGTGTCTGACCATACGTCGCCCCGGTTGCATCAGGGTCTGCCCTTCGTCCGTGCAAGGGTTGCGAAATGCCAGAGTTCGGGTAATAAAGCGTGCGGACATCTCAAGCGAAAACCCAATCTTGAATGGGAACCGCCCTCCATCCATGCAGCCGTTCCTCAGCTTGGAGCGGCGGGTCGTACACCTTGAGACAATCTCGAGCAAGAACACATGTTGAAAACGTGCTGGCCTACATCCTCGTAAATGTGCAAGCTTGCTGAACGAATGCGCGCATCGTTGCCGCGAGAATAACATTCCGCAATCCTCCAACATCCCCCCGTGTAGCTGTTGGAAGCTGTTGTATCGAACGTGCACGGCGCTAAAGCGAAAACCGCATTTCCAAACTCAGCATTCGCCCTACAGCTGTGCAGCTGTTTGAATCTTGACCTTCATGCTTGTGAGCGCTCAGGAGTGAAACTTGTAGAGCGACTCAGGCGAAACGCCCGAGCAGGCCTACGGATACGTCAGGTGGTGTGACAGGGATGCGTGGCTTCTCAGTAGGGAGTGGCGGAGGGAGGAAGACACATGTGGGAGTAGGAGAAAAAAGAACGGAGACACCATGAGGATGATGAGGACGAGGAGGCCCCATCATTTTTGCAATAAGCGGCAAATTGGCGGATCCCGGGCATCTCCAAAAACTACGGGCACGGCGCCGTCGGAGAGGGCCTTCCGGGGCAAGGATCACCAGCATGTTGATGAGGATGTTTGGGGCCCGCTTTCATGGATAACCTCGTGATCTGTGTTGAATTGAAATGCACTAGTTAGTTTTTCGAAGGGGGCAGCTTCTGGCAGGTTGAAAAGTACTTATGACAAGACTCGGTCACCAGGTGTCCTGGTGAACTGGAAGCTGGGCAAGACCGAGCTCATGGCATTCTTCTGAGGGGAGCGTGCTGCCCTGGCCAGGACAGGTCTTGTCGTTCCTTCCTTGGGTTTCCCTGTGCCTCACTAGGACATAGAAACACCTGGGCAGCTACAAGGACCATCAATGATCTATGAGATCTGAGTTGGCACATCGATTCCAACAGCAGCGTCACCCTCTCGGAGTTCGGACACGTGCGGTGTTCACCAGGAAGCAGATCGGCCTGGGGGCTAATCGAACATACGATATTGCCATTTGCTCGTCTAACGTGCTTGTGAATGCGAACGCACGGCCAGGCTTGAAGGTTAAGCAACAAGACATTATTTCCAACTATCTATGTGCCCCCTTTAGGGCTACGGCTGGCTTGACCATAACTCGGTCACTGGTACCTCCACGGCTGACCGCAGGGAATACACTGTTCTGGGTTTATTGATATGCGTGGTCTGATGTACCCCCCCGACGGGGGTCAACCTCGTCTCGTCGTCGCGCCGCGACGGGGGTCGGAGCGCCTTCGGCGCGCGACTGCTGCCCGCGACGGGGGTCGATGTGGGGATGTCGGCGGGGGTGACGCCCCCCCACGCTTATTGAGAAACTCGGAGTACTTGTGGGATTCCCCCGATTGACCGGTTGTTGCGACTCAGGCGCCTCAGGCTTCTTCCCGGGCTCCCAAAGTCGGCCCCAGGCTGCCTCTTGGCCCTGCTCGACGAAGTCGCCCCCCCGCCCAAGCTCGTGGGCGCGCACGTGCTGCGAGGACCTCCTGTGGCGCGGTGATCACGTGACCTTGCGCGCCGCCGATGCCCCCACGAACCCCCACCCCCGCGTGGTGGATGTGGCTGCTGCGCTCCAGCAGCCGTACAGCGGAGGCCACTCCACAAGAAACCTCCCACAAGAAACCCGACCCTGAGACCCCAGGAGGTCCACTGATTCTTGGGGTGGGGGAGTCACGCTTTCCATAGCAAAACCATAGGAACCCAAGCAACCAAGGGCACCCCGGAGGCAAGCAGGGTGTTTCTTGGCATGGGTCTCCACTGTACCCCCACTGGCCCCCCCCCCCCGCGTGGTGGATGTGGCTGCTGTGCTCCAGCAGTCGTAGATTGTGGACGCGTTTGTGCAAGCAGGTGGAAGGGTCTGCGAGCGCTGCCTGTTTGGACAGTCGGAGGCATGAGGCGATGCACCACGACCTCCAAAGAATGTGCCTCGCCGAGGGTCTGGCGCCGCGCTGTCCTTCGCCCCCCTCCTGCGCGGTCCCTGTGCCCCTGCCTTCTCTGTGGGGGGCATCATTGCCACTGAGAGTGAGCGGGCGGTCCACAGCAGGAAGTGTCGCCCACCTCTGGACCCAGCCCCCAGATTCTTTTGTGGGAGCGTGTGCGTCGGCTGTGGCATGAATTTCCACACCCACAGTAGACCACTCAAGCACGCTCGCCATGGGTCGTCGAAATGCCTTGCAGATGTCATGGGCGTGTTACGGTCTGTGCCCAGCGAGCTCGTGGCTGAAGAGGAAGAGGAGGGCTCGCTGCCAGCCAGCACCCTGCGCGCAAGGGTATCATGCGACGTCTGCCCAATATCCTGCTGCTCTCGCAGTGGGCCTTTAGTTGAGGGGGCCGCGGCTGCCGAGGGCCGCCCCGCCTCGATCCCCAAGATTTCGCGCAGCGCGGGGCTCCTCGACGAGGCCCCCCCCCATCAGTGTCGACATGTTCCCCCCCGAGCGTATATATCGACTTTACACGCCTCTACTCGCGCCATGGGGCGACGTGCGGGACTGCTTGGAGCGCTCCAGCCTGATTGCCGAGAAGGATGGCTTCGTCTTGTCGGCGGATCTCTCGAGCCGTTTTTCGGATGTCGCGAAGTTCTGCTACCGTTTAATCATGTCTCGTAGAATGGTGGGGATGGTAGCGGCCCCCCAACAAGCCTCGTGGGACCCCAGCCCCCGTTGTAATGCCAAGGGGGGCGCCAGGGCGTTGAGGGATACCGAGGCACCGTGGGGCATTCACGCTAGGTCGCCATCCGAGTGGAAGCAGCTTGAGCTCGACAACGCTTGCCTGCGCGTGGCACTGACGCTGGCGTGTGGTTGTGCTCTGTCTGGTTTGGCGACCTTGGTTACTTCAAGAGCCCCTGCCTTGCTTGACCATCGCCGCTGTGCTTGGAGTCCCCGAAGTTCGATTATTGCGTTCACTGTCAGCCGTGTCTCCGTCGCTCGCGTCGAGTGTGGTGCTTTCAGGGAGTGCCAGTGCCTGTGCTTGAATGCTGAATCTGTACTTGCACCACCTGGCTCCAGTAAAGAGTCTTTAATTTACAGCTGCAGCCTTGGCCTCACACGCTTCGTCTTGCTGTGCCTCCATGTTCCTTGGAGAGATACGTGGCTTGAAGCAAACGTTGCCCATCTGTCTGCACCTCTAGGTCCGTACCGCGAGGAATTGATGTTTGGTGTGCTGCGATTATCTGCCCCGCCGCGCCTTGCCTCCCCTCTCTGCACCGATGTTGCATGAATGGGTGCCGAAGACGCGCGCCTTCAGGGCTGTTAGAGGAAGAACGAGGAGGCGGGGGGAGGAGGAGGGAAACAGAGGGAAGACAGAGGAGGAGAAGAAAAAGGAGTGGTGGAGGAGGAGGAGGAAGAGGAGGAGGGGGAGGGGAGTAGGAGGAAGAAGAGGACGAGGAGGAAGAGGACGAGGAGGAGGAGGAGGAGGAGGAGGAGGAGGAGAGGAAGGAGGAGGAAGAAGAGGACGAGGAGGAGGAGGCGGATGAGGAGGAGGGGACGAGAGGAGGAGGACGAGGAGGAGGAGGAGGAGGAGGAGGAGGAGAGGAAGGAGGAGGAAGAAGAGGACGAGGAGGAGGAGGCGGATGAGGAGGAGGAGGACGAGGAGGAGGAGGACGAGGAGGAGGAGGAGGAGGAGGAGGAGGAGGAGCAATTAGGATGACAACGACGACCACGACCGCGACGGCGACCACGACGACGATCCCAACCACGACGACTTCCGGTTCCTCGTGCTCCCCCCCCGCGCGCGCTGCCTCCTGAAATCCTTCAAAGGCCCCACCTCCCGGAGGCCCTCCCGGGGGCCTCTCCGAGGGCCTCCTCCCGAGCGCCTCTCCGAAGGCCTCCGCCCGAGCGCCCCCCGAGGGCCTCCCGAAGGCCCCCCGAGTGGCCTTCGAGCGCCCCCCCCCGCCCCCCCCCTTTTTTTGGTTTTCGACGCGCGCGCTGAAGGGTCGAGGCGCCGCGCGGCGGCGCCCAAAGCCTCGAGAGGCGGCGCCCAGCTCAGGCGAGCCCCTCCCTCGTCTCGCCAGGAAGGCCTCGCATGGGCCTCCCGAGGGCCTCCCCCGGGGAATTGCCGGGAACTGCCCCTGACCCAAGGTGTCCCCAAGGAGACCTCCACGGGCCTCCAGAGCACTCCTCGCGAGACCCGGAGGGCCCCAGGGGGCTCACACATGAAGCGAACCGCTGGGGACACCTTGGGCCATGGGCACCTTTGGCAGCTCCCGACCCCCAGGGCCTCCCGACGAACTCCACGCCCAGGCGTCCGATGAAGTGACTCGCTCAGCGCGTGGCCCTTTGGGTACCCACCCCTTCCCCGGAGGCAGCTTTTCGCTTCCGGGCCCATTTTCGATGGCCCCGGGGGCCGGAATCGAGGAACACCGCCGGCGCAACAAATCAGATCGGCGGAAATCTTCGGATGGCCACCCAAAGCTCAGGAGGGAAACGTAGCCACAGACACAGAGAAGCGCTGACGTGGAGGGAACGAGTGGAAAAATATGGGCACTGGAGGGGACGAGGGAACTCGAGGAATCCGCCGACCCTGTCGGCGTGTGCGAGGGGCTTGTCCGTTCGAGTCGTCGTCTCCGTCGTTCGTTCGTCGTCGTCTCTGTCGCCTCCTTTCCCTGCGTCCCCCCTTTCCTTGGGCCCCTGGCCGCTCCACCCCTTTCCCTGGGTCCTCCTCCTCAAACGCTGGGCCCGTCGCCGCTCCCCCCCCCAATCCCCTTGGCCCTCCTCCTCCTCGAGCGCGCCAGCCAAAGCGACATTGAGCAACGTCGTAATTGACTCGACGGGAAGACCCTTCCCGTTGATCCCTCCCCTGCCGGCGGGGAGGGGGGGGTTCGGGAGGGGGGTCGGGGGGGGGTCCTGGGTCTGATGCGACTCCCCCCGGGGGGTCCCAGTGCCCCAAAAAGCCCCAAAGACGGGTCAAGAGTGCTCCAAGAGGCCCCCAAAGACGGTCCAAGAGGGCTCCGAATCGCCGAACGATCTGTCCAAGATGCCTTGACGGCCTCCAGACGGCCCAAAAACCCTGGCAGGGGGCCCAAGAAGCCTCCAAGAGCACTCCCAAGAGGGCCCCACAAGGCAATTACCCCAGTGCGACCCTACCTAGAAGTTGGAGCCCCTAGGAAAGCAGCATTAGTTGCTATGCTATGCTATGCTATGCTAAGCTATGCCATGCTATGCTGCGCTATGCTATGTTATGTTATGACATACTATGCTGCAATGTGTTATGATATGCTATGTTATGCTATGGTAAGCTATGCTAAGCTATGCAATGTCATGCTGCGCTGTGCTATGTTAAGCTATGATATGATATGCTATGGCAAGATGCACTATGTTATGCTGTGGTATGCCATGTTATGCTGCGCAATGCTATGATATGCGATGCGATGCTATGATATGCTATGTTCGGCTATGTTATGTTATGACATGCTATGCTAATGCAGCGCTGGGTATGCTACGCTAAGCTAAGCTAACCCTCTAGGCAGAGCCTAGGTAGGGAATTCCACCCATGCTATGCTGTGCTATGCTGTGCTGCGCTATGCTATGCTACGCTGTGCTATGCTATGCTGTGGTCTGCTATGCTAAAGCTCAGCGAAGCTAAGATATACGATATCGAAGGCAAGCTAGGCTAAGAAAAACCTGAGCTAAGATGAAGCTAAGCTAAGCTAATATAAAATAAGTTAAGCTAAGATGAGATAAGCAACGCTAAGCTAAGGAGACGTAGCTGGGGGAACCGCGGAGCGGATGCCGGGGGAACCGCCCGGGGCGGGTTCCACTGCCCGGCCCCTTTAAGATACAGGGTAAGAACCCTTCTAGGCAGAGCCTAGGTAGGGAAAAACACTGACTTCCCATTGGTTTTTGGAACATTTCGGCGTTCTCGCCTCTTCCGCTCCCCGACGCTCCAAGACGGCCCAAGAGGCTCCCGAGATCGCCCCAAGGCTCCCAACAGGCTCCCAACATTTTTCTGGCAGATCTACCCAACAACGCAACCCATATTGTTTCCTGATACATCAACTCTTCTGCTCAATTCTGCTCCGCTCTGCTCGCTCCTGAAGGGAATGCCGTCCTGTTCTCGCCGGCCACAATGTCTGATAAGTTCCTGAGCACGTTTCTCGGTCGCCCGTTGCTGATCTCGAACAGTTTCAATGGCTCCACGGCGCCAGCCAACCCCCAAAACTCCCTGTGCTCTTTACAGCAACCAATCGCTCGTGATGTCCTGGCCGTTGGCGATGCTGTCGGCGAGCGCATTGAACTCTCTGTAGATGTGCCGGATGCTGTACGTCGTGCCGCTGGCGCGGAGCCGAAGCAAGTCTGCTGCCTGCTCCCAGTAAGGCACGAGCGATGGCGATCGGCATCGCCACTCCATATTGCACTGACATGCCAACAGCAAGGCGCCCACCTGGAGCGTGACCGCCGTGTCCGGCCAGCGCAGGGCGCCCCGGAAGCAGCAGAGCATGCCTTCGTACTCTGCCACGTTGCTGCTGTACGACGGCAGGAGTCTGCCGACGCGCCCCTGCGCCGCTCCGTCCCGAAGGCGCACGGCGCCGAAGCTGCTTTGAATGAGACCGTCGCCTGCTCGGCCTTGGCCCCCGGGACGCCCCGTCGGGCCTGTAGGTGACAGCTTGCTCCTGCGGGGGTGGCTCTCTCGCTCGTCGCGCCCCGCGTTCCACCGGGCCCGGCCCACAGCAAAAAGCGAGGCTGAGATGGACTGCAACTGAGCGCCGTGCAACGCGTGCTCAGAGATGCATATGAGTCACGCCGTTCGCCCATTACGCCCATACTTTGACAAATCATGTCGCAAGCAGAGCGGACCACGGGGCACTCGCGCATGTGCACTAATGCTGTCCTCGCCGCCCCCGCACAGAAGGCACGCGTCTGCGCCGCCGTCACCTCGCAAACGCATGCGCTTCGCGGTGGACAGCGCATTGAAGAGCCATTGAAAAAGCGCCCATCTGTGGCGTTGTGGAATGGTGCCCGGGAGACGCGACAAATTGTCCAAGGCACACTGTGGACTGATGCCGCGGTCCCGCAGCCAGCGGCGGACATACCCCTCCACTGCGTCGGCCTCCACGGGAAGCAGGCGCCGGTACAGCGCCTTGGTAGCCGTGCCATGGCTGACCCCAAACTGCGTCGTGACGGCGTGCGCCGTGGTGCCGGTGGCGTCGTGGAAGAATCGGAAAGCACGTCTGCAGTGTCTCCACATGCGCATGGGACGTCCAGCGTGCCCGCTGTCTCCACTGAGAGGTCTCTGCCCGACGTCGAAGGTATCTAACTTGTCTCTAACTACGTCGAGGCCCCCAAGAGGCCCCTAAACTGTCCCCCAGAGGCCCTCGAGAGCGCTTCGAAGAAACCCCAAGAACCATTCATGAGGACTCTGACACACGTCAGCGTCGTCGTCGTCGTCGTCGCCGCCGCCGCCGCCGCCGTTGTCGTTGTTCCCCTTCAGGGTTGGCGGCGCCGACCGTAAGGCCTTCGCAACAGGTCTAACAAAAAAAACCTGGGAAAGCATAAGATGTGTGCTGATTCACGTGCGTCCCCCTGGTCCCCGGGGCCCCTTCCGAAGCCCCCGAGGCCCTCCGAGGGGGGGGGGCCCTCGCGCAGCGCGCGGGCGCGTGCGAGGTCTTTGCTGCTGCTGCTGCTCGGCGGCGCGGAAGCCGAGCTCCCGCCCCGCGGCCGCGGCGGCCCGCTCGTGACCGCAGGGGTCCGCCCAGTGCAGGTCCTGAGGCCGCCGCGGGCGGGGAGGCCGGCCGAGGCCTCTCGGAGGCCCTCGGAGGCCTCAAGGGGCCCTCGAGGCTCTGAGGATGAGGGTGGGGATGGAGGAGGAGGAGGAGGAGGAGGAGGAGGAGGAGGAGGAGGAGGAGGAGGAGGGAGGAGGAGGAGGAGGAGAAGGAGGATGCGGATGAGGATGAGGGTGGTGATGATGATGCTGCAGCTGATGACGATGATGATGATGCTGCTGATGATGATGATGTTGATGCTGATGCTGATGCTGATGGTGCTGATGATGCGGATGATGATTATGATGATGCTGATGATGCTGATGATGATGCTGCTGCTGCTGATGATGATGATGATGATGATGATGACGATGTTGATGCTGATGCTGCTGATGATGATGATGCTGGTGGTGATGATGATGGTTGTGTTTATGCTGGCGATGCGAATGCCGATGGTTACGATGATTATGCCGCTGCTGGTGGTGATGATGATGCCGATGACGATGATGTTGATGACGATGATCATGGCGGTGATGATGATGCTATTCTTGATGATGGTAATGCTGATGCTGATGCTGGTGATGATTCTGATGCTGCAGGTGGCGATAACGATGATGATGATGATACTGATGATGATGGTAGAGTGTCAATGATACTGACAATTGTGCTGCTGCTGATGGTGATGATGATGATGATGCTGATGCTGATGGTGCTGATGCTGATGATGCGGATGATGATGATGATGATGCTGATGATGATGATGATGATGCTGATGATGACGATGTTGATGCTGATGCTGCTGATGATGATGATGCTGGTGGTGATGATGATGGTTGTGTTTATGCTGGCGATGCGAATGCCGATGGTTACGATGATTATGCCGCTGCTGGTGGTGATGATGATGCCGATGACGATGATGTTGATGACGATGATCATGGCGGTGATGATGATGCTATTCTTGATGATGGTAATGCTGATGCTGATGCTGGTGATGATTCTGATGCTGCAGGTGGCGATAACGATGATGATGATACTGAAGATGATGGTAGAGTGACAATGATACTGACAATTGTGCTGCTGCTGGTGGTGATGATGATGCCGATGACGATGATGTTGATGACGATGATCATGGTGGTGATGATGATGCTATTCTTGATGATGGTAATGCTGATGCTGATGCTGGTGATGATTCTGATGCTGCAGGTGGCGATAACGATGATGATGATGATACTGATGATGATGGTAGAGTGACAATGATACTGACAATTGTGCTGCTGCTGACGGTGATGATGATGATGATGCTGATGATGCTGATACGGGTGATGATGCGTATGCTGCTAAGGATGAGGGTGATGGTGATGCTGCCGATGCTAATGTTAGTTACGATACTGGTGCTCATGCTGATGCTGATGATGGTGGTGATGTTGCTGGTGATGATGACGATGATGGTGATGATGAGGATGATGCTGACGATGATGATGCTGATGATGCTGCCGATGATGACGACGACGACGATGACGATGATGATGATGCTGGTGATGATGATGATGATGATGATGATGATGATGATGGTGATGGTGATGGTGATGGTGATGATGATGATGATGATGATGATGATGATGATGATGATGATGCTGTGGGGGGGGGGGGAGAGGAGGAGGAGGAGGAGGAGGAGGAGGAGGAGGAGAGCAAAAGGAGGAAAACGATGAAGAGAAGGAGGAGCGGGAGTGTGAGGAGACAGAGGACATGGAGGAACAAGGACGAGGGAAGAGGATAAGGAGGAGGAATAGAAGGAGCAGGAGGAGGAGGAGGAGGAGGAGGAAGGATCCAACTTGACCAACATGCGTCAGAAATGCTGCAGCGTACCCTCCCGTCCCAAGTCCCCTCCCCACATGCTCCCAAAAGCTTCCCGCTACACCACAAGAAGCACCCCCTTGAAAGACCAGCGCAATTTGTCCTGCCATTTTGGCGAGGGCCCCGCTGCGAAGAGGAATTGGCTTGCATCCTACTGGCGCGTAAGCGAGAAAGCGAGGCATAAAATCACACAATTTAGAGAGGTGTCCAACGAGACCCCTCCTTTGAAGCAGAACCGCCATCACCCGTGTGACCGTCACACAGGTTTTAGTTTGTGGTCATGACCTTCGAGGAGGCATCCGACGGCACATCGATGCCGAAGAAGAGCCACTCTGTAAACGTGCAGTGCTACATATGTTGAAGTTCAGGGCCTTTCAGATCAACGAAGTCTCCAGTGAGAAACCACATTTGCAAAGAACCGCCCTACCCTTCTGGAAATTAGATAGACAGCGAATGTGCGCGGCGCTGCTGCAGAGAACAAATGTGAGACGAATGTGCGCGGAGCTAAAGCAAGAGCCCCACCTTGAAAAGGAACCGCCTTCCATCCTTTAAGTTACTGCGATATATCACAACGAATGTGGGCGGCGCTATAGCGAACCAAGCATGTTGAAAACGCCCCACCATCCCTGAACCTGTTGCACACTTGTAAGACGAATGTGCGCAACGCCAAAGGCGAGAACCACATTTCGAGAACGACATGTGCTCCATCCGTGAAGCTGCTGCAAGCTATTTTCACGAATGTGCGCAACGCTAAGGCGAGCGCATTTTGAAACCTCCTCGCTCCCATACCTGGACAGGTTGCAAGCTTTTCAGATGAGTGTGCGCAGCACTGAGGCAAGGGCCACATTAGAAAATGCTGAAACTGCTGTGCTAATCTTTTAAGGACGAATATGTGCGGCGCGACTGCGAGAGGATCATATTGAAAACAAGCCCTCTCTATCCGTGAAGCGGCAGCAGACTTTACAACGAACGTGTGCGAAGCTAAGGCGAGAGCCTCATTATGAACACGACCTGTACTATCTGAGATGGATGTTTTCTCACGCGCTAAGCCTGGTGCGGGTGGAACCGCCCCTGCCAGGCTGAAAACCCGATCCAAAAGGCTGCGGAGAAAAGAGGGTGCAAGCTACTCCCTGCCTGCTGCTACCCCCCCTCGGCGCTGTACTCAAATCAGCCTCACTGCGTGCAGTTGGAGCCAGATCCGGCATCAAAAACACGCAGTTGTCACTGGCGCTCTTGTAAATGCCAAGCTTCCGGATCAGAAGCGATGGAAGAGTCCGAGGCGGAACGCCCCGGCCCGCCCTGCCGACACGCCTGCGGGTGCTACATATATATATATATATATATATATACGGAGAGCGGGTGGAGGACGAGGGCTAGAAAAAAAAAGAAGAGGAGAGGCGGGACCAGGAAGAGTGAGAGAGAGAGGGAATAGCAGGATCATGATGCTGAGGAGAAGGAGGAGGAGGAGGCGGCGGAGGAGGAGGAGGAGGACGACGACGTGGACAAGGACGAGGAAGTGGGGTGGAGCAGAAATGGGCGTACCAGTCCTCACAGAGCAGGTCGTTGAAGGACATGTTCTCCATGTGGAAGTCTGCCATCTGTGCCTCCACCCTCCTCGCTGTCCCCCCACCGTCTCCTACTCCAATCACGTAGTTGATTCTAATCGTTGATTCTCACGTTGTCCGTCCACTCTCCCCTGATCCTGCTGCTGTAGCTGCTGCCATCGCTGCCACTCCTCCTCCTCCTCCTCCTCCTCCTCCTCCTTTTCCTCCTCCTCCTCTTCCTCTTCCTCTTCCTCCTTCGACTCCTCTTCCTCCTCCTCCTCCTCTTCCTCTTCCTCCTTCGACTCCTCCTCCTCCTCCTCCTCCTCCTCTTCCTCCTTCGACTCCGCGTGTAGAATTACACGTGGAATTGAGCAGACCGCGCCTCCGTGGTGTGCCGCGCGACGAACTCCTCGAAGGTCTCGGGCTCCCAAAGCGTCCCCAGGAAACGGCAGAGGAAGCCGTAGTGGGCGAGCCACCTGCGCAGGCCACGGAGGTGAACATCGTCGCCCTCCCGGCCCTCCTCCCCTCCGTTCTGCTTATCCCCCCTGCCACTCTTGCTCCATCCTCCTTGCTCCTCCCTCCTCCTCCTCCTCCTCCTCCTCCTCCTCCTCCTCTTGCTCCTCTTGCTCCTCGTCCTCCTCCTCCCCCTAGCACCTCATGTTCTCTTTGTTGTCGTCGCCCTCTCCCACTTCATCCTCACCCATCCCCTCTCCCTCATGTTTTGTTCTTTTCCTACTCCTCCTCCTCCTCCTCCTCGTTACCATGTCACCACTCGCTTCCTCGCCATCCTCTTCGTCCTGCCAGCCCCCAGCCCTATCCTACACATCCTCCTTCATTCCCTTTTCTCATCCTCCTCCTCGTCCTTCTCCTCCTCCCGCCTCCTTCTCCCTCCTCGTCCCCCCTCCTTCCTCCTCGACTCTTTCTGCATCATCATCCTCCGCCGCGCGCGCGAACTTCCGCGCCGGGGAGGGGCGCGCGTGCGCGCGTGGGTGGGGGGGCCGGGGGCGGGGAGGACACGAGCCAGAGAGGGGGAGAAAGGGGAGATATGGATAGAGGTAGATGCACCGAGAGAGATGGACATACATACGCAACACACATATATATATATACATATATATATATATACATATATATATATATATATACACACATGTATATACGTATATACAAGACTGCAGTGGCGCTTCGCGCCATGCACCTTGGTCCTTGAAGCTTGGTACTTGGTATGCAGGCGGAATAGCAGGAAGGTCAAGCCGACAATTTTGCGATAGTTCCTTGCTGTTTTTTGTCCGGCATCGCCGCTATAATAATGTTATTCGTTGTCCTTCCTCCATGCTTCTTTTTCCTCATTTTCGCCATAACCCTGCGCATTCTCCCAATCCTCCTCAGCTCTTTTTTGCGGAGGCCCCTCCTTGGAGAGCCTCTGGGGGCCTCACAAAAGTTGTTCTAAGCTTTCTTGAGGCCTTCTGGAGGCCTCCTGGGCGTTTCTTGGGGCCTCTGGGGGCTTCCTCGGGCCACCCTGCCTCCAACCGTGGTCTCCCTGAACGACCGGGTCAAGATATGGAATGCTTCGGAGGATGTCTTGGGGCCATCTTAGGCCGCCACGGGGCTCTCTGAGGGTCATCTTGGACCCGTGTTGTGCCGTTTTGGGGCTCTCTTGGACTGACTGGAAGCCCTTTCGGATGGTTGTGGGGCGATTTTGGAGCCTCCCAAGCGGCTTCGGACGCCCAGCAGACCGCCGTCTTGGAGCGTCGGGAAGCCGAAAGGAGGAGAACCCCAACATTCACCAACAACCAACAGAAAATCCATGATTTTTGCCTCTTGGGGCCTTCTTGGGAGTGCTCTTGGAGGCCTTTTTGAGGCCGTCCTGGAAGCCTCTTGGGCCATCTTGAAGTCACGTCGGTCACTCTTGGAGCGCTCTTGTCTCTGGGACGTCTCCGATGACCCCCCTGGTCGCCCCAGGTGTGCTGGGAAAGCTTGGCAAAACGCCCTGCGAGGCCTGGGTGGGCGCTTCGAGGCCCGTCCGGAGGGTCCCAAAGCCCCAGATCCCGATTTTTTAATACATAAATTATCCTGGCGAAGGACCCAACCATATGCAGTTGTGAGTATCGCAATTGTGAGTATCTTCTTCGGTGGCGCTCCCTATGGGGCCACGAACCGCATGAGGGGTGTGCCGAAATGTGGCGGGGTACACAACGCAAAGGAATACGATAGATCTGATTACGAGAGAAAGAACGCGGGTGAGTCAGAGCGCGAGGGAATCTGAGTATGAATGGGTCTGCGCGCGAGTGAATATATTTGCATGAATGCGATCATGGAACCGCCTAGTGTAAGTGTCGAGCATGCCTGTCCGAACACACGTGACACTGGGCGTGGCCGCCGCAGGCAGCTTCCGCGGGAACCCCGACGGCAGCGTCCGCACGTCGCGACGCCCATGTCGGCACGCCTCTTGCGAGGATCGCGCCCGCTTTCGGCTCTTCTTTTCCTTCCTCTTTGCCCGCGCACTCCAAAATCCAAGGCTGCGGGCGCAGCGCAGCGCGGAGTCCCCGCGACGCGCGCTGGTCGCCCCGGGCGGGGTCCCAGCGACGCGCGCGGGTCGTCCGCTGCGCGAAGCAGAGAGAGCTGACTAGCTAACTGGCTGGCTGATAGCGGGCAAGTCTCTGACCGCTGGGCAGAGCGACGACGGGCGAACGAGGCGCCGGGCCCCCCGCAGCACGGAGTTCCCGCGACGCGCGCTGGTCGCCCCGAGAGGGTCCCAGCGACGCGCGCGGGTCGTCCGCGGCGCGAGGCCAAACAATTAGTCGGGCAGTCGAGAGAAGGCGCGGCTCGGGGGAGACGCTCCTCAGGTCAGGCCTCGCGGATGAACTCGGTGAAGCCGAGCTCCCTGGCGAGGGCCGTCGCTTCCCTCCTGCACCGCTTCGTGCGCGCCGCAAACTGCTCCAGCTGCTTCCGCAAGCCCTGCGGCGGCCCTGCCAGGAAGAACTCGATGCGCGGCGCCCGCGTGAGCAGGAGGTCCTCGTGGCGCGTGGCGCGCGAGAGCAGCGCGTAGAGCTCCAGCCACCAGTCGTCGTCCTCCTTCTTGCCGTTCCCTACCTCGTGGCGGCCGCAATCCAGGATCACGCCTGGGCGACGTCGACCGAGGGAGCAGCGCGCCGGGCAGCCGACGGCCCAGGGCGAGAGTCCACAGGACCGAGAGATGGTCTGGCCGCGGACTGCTCGCGCCCCGGAGGTCTGGCCGCCCCCGGAGCGCCGTTCCCCCGCCCCGTCGCCTTCGCGCATGGTGCGCCCCTGGCACGCCACCGTGGTGATGACCCTGCCGTGCGAGAAATGCGGGGGGTGTGCCGAAATGGGTGGGGGTGACGCATGCGGGCGCGGCACTGAGGCCTTCGGTGGAGCTCCCTATGGAGCCACGAAACGTGTGAGGGGTGTGCCGAAATGGGTGTGGGGGACGCATGCGGCCGCGGGCACTGGGGCCTTCGGTGGAGCTCCCTATGGAGCCACGAAACGTGTGAGGGGTGTGCCGAAATGGGTGTGGGGGACGCATGCGGCCGCGGGCACTGGGGCCTTCGGTGGAGCTCCCTATGGAGCCACGAAACGTGTGAGGGGTGTGCCGAAATGGGTGTGGGGGACGCATGCGGCCGCGGGCACTGGGGCCTTCGGTGGAGCTCCCTATGGAGCCACGAAACGTGTGAGGGGTGTGCCGAAATGGGTGTGGGTGACGCATGCGGCCGCGGGCACTGGGGCCTTCGGTGGAGCTCCCTATGGAGCCACGAACGTGTGAGGGGTGTGCCGAATGGGTGTGGGTGACGCATGCGGCCGCGGCACTGGGGCCTCGGGGGAGATCCCGATGGAGCCACGAAACGTGTGAGGGGTGTGCCGAAATGGGTGTGGGGACGCAAGCGGACGCGGGCACTGGGGCCTTCGGGAGCTCCCTATGGAGCACGAACGTTTGAGGGTTGCCGAAAGGGTGTGGGGGACGCATGCGGCCGCGGGCACTGGGGCCTTCGGTGGAGCTCCCTATGGAGCCACGAAACGTGTGAGGGGTGTGCCGAAATGGGTGTGGGGGACGCATGCGGCCGCGGGCACTGGGGCCTTCGGTGGAGCTCCCTATGGAGCCACGAAACGTGTGAGGGGTGTGCCGAAATGGGTGTGGGGGACGCATGCGGCCGCGGGCACTGGGGCCTTCGGTGGAGCTCCCTATGGAGCCACGAAACGTGTGAGGGGTGTGCCGAAATGGGTGTGGGGGACGCATGCGGCCGCGGGCACTGGGGCCTTCGGTGGAGCTCCCTATGGAGCCACGAAACGTGTGAGGGGTGTGCCGAAATGATGGGTGTGGGGGACGCATGCGGCCGCGGGCACTGGGGCCTTCGGTGGAGCTCCCTATGGAGCCACGAAACGTGTGAGGGGTGTGCCGACATGGGTGTGGGGGACGCATGCGGCCGCGGGCACTGGGGCCTTCGGTGGAGCTCCCTATGGAGCCACGAAACGTGTGAGGGGTGTGCCGAAATGGGTGTGGGGGACGCATGCGGCCGCGGGCACTGGGGCCTTCGGTGGAGCTCCCTATGGAGCCACGAAACGTGTGAGGGGTGTGCCGAAATGGGTGTGGGGGACGCATGCGGCCGCGGGCACTGGGGCCTTCGGTGGAGCTCCCTATGGAGCCACGAAACGTGTGAGGGGTGTGCCGAAATGGGTGTTGATGATGATGATGATGATGGGAGGGGGGAGGAGGCAGCGGGAGGAAGGAAGGAAGGAAGGAGAACGCGGGGCACCGTCTCTTCAAAACGAGGACCCAACACCACAGGATGGTTGGGAAAAAGGGGGGGGGGTCCCCCCCGCCCAGGCTTATAAGCATATAGGAAGAGGAATGTCCAAACCATATATATATGTATAGATATATACATATATGTATATATGTATGTGTGTGTATGTATGTGTGTGTATGTACGTATGTATGTATGTATGTATGTATGTATGTATATATGTATGTATGTATGTCTGTATGTATGTATGTATGCATGCATGCATGTATATATGTATGTATGCATGTATGTATGCATGCATGCATGTATGTATGTATGTATGCATGCACATATATATATGTATATATACACATACACATCGAGAAACAGAGAGAGAGAGAGAGAGGGAGAGAGCGAACAATATATAGAAATTGAAAGAGAAATATAAAGATAAAAACCATAGTAGCATCGGGATGAGTTCTCCGTACGACTACCGGCCGCACGTTGCGGCTTTCGCGCCCGAGCGAGCAGCCCGCCTCGCGCGAAGCGCTGGGGCAACGCTCAGCCGCGAGCGGCACGGAGAGCAGCCCGCGCAAGCGCGAGCGCGTCGTCGGGCGGCGCGAAGAGCTCTTGCCGCGACAAGTGGTAGAAACAACACGCAATGACCACGTGCTCGAGCCGGTCGGCGCCCAGCGGCCGCTGCGCTACCGCCCCCAGGCCCAGCCGCAAGAGCGGCCCCCCTTCAGCGAAGCAGCCGCCAGGCAACACCCTGCCCGGGGCCAGCGAGACGGCCCACGATGGGCGGTCGCAGTTCACGCAATTGCTGAAACAGTCGGACTCGTCGCAGCCAAGGATGCAAGTCCGGCGCCCCCGCGCGTCGAGGATCCCGTGGGACGTGAGCCAGCCGCTGGAAAACGAGCGGGTGGCCCGGAAGGCCCAGGCCAGCGACGCCGTCGAGACCGAGGCCCCGAGCTCGCCCCATGGGATGGCGCGGATCTGCTCGGCCAGCTCTGGCCACCACTTAAGGGGCCGCCGCTCGAACGTCTGCGACAGGGCCCTTCAAGCCAGGCCAGGCTGACTCCACCGCCGCGTGCGCGCGGCGCTGCGCCATGGGCCCCCTCCACCAGTCTCCTCCAGGTCCAGCTCCGCCGACACCGCCTGGCGCCCCGCCTGCAGGAGAGCCTGCGGGTGGCTGGCTCCATCTGGCAACGTCGCGATCCCCAGCGCGTCGGCCATGAACTCAGCGCACGAAGGCAGCTTCCACCAATTGGGGGCAAGCGCCCGCAAGGAAGCCACCGGCAGCGGCGCATGCTCAGCGGCGGTGCCCACCCGGCGCCGGTGCCGGGAAAAAGAAGATTGACGCTTCGAGAGCGTGGCGCCGGCGGCCCGGACGAGGGCCGGCGTCGTCGAGAGCGGTGCCGACCTCGCGCGAGGCCCTCCCCATCCCTTCGCCTGAACCCGGTCCTTCACCGCGAGAGACCCAATCGGCATCTTAGGAGCCTCGGCCAAGGCCGTGTGCCCCTCGCGCCAGAGGTTCCACGGCAGCGGCAAGTGCTGTCCGATGTGCCCCAACACGGGGATGACCCTCGTTGCGCAGTGCTGAGCCGACATCG